CAATTTAGAGGAATGGCCAACCCTTCGCGTAAGAGGCACCACAAGGATAAGCAAGCTGGGAAGAATGCGGAGTGCACAAAGGTTGGGATGGCTGAGTTCGAGCTACGGCTCGACGTTGACAACTATACTTGATGGTGCTAAGGCAAGCGAGGCGCTTGGTAAAGGATGAGACCATACAAGGTGGAATAAGTTGCTTAGCGACCAAAAGAGTTGTGCAAAACACACAGAGGTGAGGGGAATTGCTAACTCGAAGAATTCGGTACTCATGCATGGGCTTGTATGCGGACGATGAAATGTTCGCGGCCATCCCAAGGCGACCAAACCTCAACGCCATGAAGTATTGAAACTTTCTCTTCGGCATGTGAAGGATACGTCTGTAGGAGGCTGAAGTGTGCAGCGAGTTCAGCATGTTGCTAGGCCTTGAGTGGTGCAGCGGGGGTTGTATTGACGTGGAGTTGCAATCTAGCAAGTGCGTTTGTAGGAGGCAGAACAATGCATAGTTTGTTCAGCAAACCAGAGTAGTCCATGGGGATGGTGGTCTCCGAAACGAAGAGAGATGTTGCTCCAACGGGACAGTTATCTAGGAGGGATAGATCCCGGTTTCTCCAAAGGGAGAATCATGTGCAACAAACCGCACATGTTGATGAGGAGTGCCTCAACAAACAATAACTCCACGAAGCTCAATGGACCGAGCAAGCGGCAAGGAGTAGTCGCATGATCTCGCTTGAGAGAATGCATTGGTGGATGCATTGCGAGATCAAGTGGGGAACGACCCAAAGCAACACAAATGAAGGCACACTTGGAGTCAATATCGAGATCGGACTTAAGAGGGGGCTGACCCGTGGAATGGTGGGTGCGAGGGCCACCATCAACTCAATGCAAAAACGAGGAGCGGAGCAACTTGGGTGTAACTTGGCGAAATACCCAAGCCGCATGAAGGGAGCCAACATAGAAGATGGAACATGGAGTGGAGGCACAGTGCTTTCCTTGGATAGAGGTCAAGGACATGAACTCTTGCAGAGGCAAGAACTCATGTTGTTCCATGGGTCCTTCATTCTGACAGAGCAGGCTCATCTTGTATGGTGCCAAAGACGAAGAGAGCTTCTGGGCACATACACCTTATCTCGGAGAAGCATTTGATGGAGGAACTAAGGCGACTCAACTTGCGGAGGCGAAGTTGGGTTCAGAAGGCCTTGGCACGGGGCAAGAGGATGCAGAGGTGGGTGCTCTTGAAGAATACACCATAGTGTTGCCATTCAAGTTGCTATAAAGGAAGCGATGCGTAGTGGAGATTGTGTTGGTAGGGGTAGAGGCCCAAGATCCAGACAATGGTGCACTATTTTCAACGAAGTCGGTGGACTTCGGGAGCTACTAGGCGACAGACTATTCTAGAGCAATGCTTCATCCAGGTGTGACCCAAGAGTGGGTGGATGAAGGTCGATTGGCAAAGGAACGAACAAAATCGAAGGTGGAAGAGACCCTGCGATGTATTGGCAAAGGCCACACATGGAGGGATCACAATTTAAGTTCATCCCACAAGGATCAGAATGCAATAGAGATGTCACCAAGAGGCGACATGGTGCAGAGGATCGTGGTGGAATAGTTTGTGACAATGCGATACACACGGCAGTGAGTCCTGTGAGGGACTAGATCATACGGAGGTATGATCGGGAGCTATTAGAAGCTCCACTTCGGTGAACAACACGATGGCAAGAAGGGCTATGGATTCAAGGAGTGAAGGCCATGGTACCATAGAGGTGGGTCTTCCGTGCATGCATCGAATTTTGCATCGGATGAAATCCTTGGTCATCAGCATATGGGGGCTGTGTTCCACCAAGGGAAAAGTTCGAATGTAAATACCAGTGAGTCCCATGGGAGAGACTTGATCATGCAGAGGTATGATCGAAGCAGCTGTCGAGTTGGACTGCTCCAGAGCCCATATTCACTTAAGGGAGCTCGACAAGTTAGAGGACAAGGTTGAGTAAGCGAACGTTGCTACCAAAGAAGCTAAGGAGAACAGAATCGATGTAAACCCTATAACGTGATGGTAGAGGCCATGTATGGGAGTTGCAATATGTATTTCCATCGACCAAAGAGAGCAGCTTGGAGAACATAAAGGTGTTGAAGCAGGGGGTCGAAATGGGCGAGGAAGCGATGATGAGTCCAGAGGAACTTAGCTACCCAAAATCAAGCATAAGTTAGAATGGAGGTGGACTCGGAGGAGTGCCACAGAGTCATATATACTGATCGTGAAGAAAAGGGATGCAGATGCAAGGCGACGGATAGTAGGGCCATGGGCATGGCAGCGCCATGGTACCGTAGAGGCGGGACTTCCGTGAAAGTCATTGATCCCTTGCTCTCATGGAGGGAGAGCACTTGGTCATGAAAGGGGCCGAGGAGGTAGAGCATGCAAAGGCAAACTCCAAGTACCGAGACAAGGCTAAAGGGTAGAGGCCAAGGAACTTCGTAAGACCGGTGTCAACGAGCTTCTCATTAAGATAGCCGAAAGTGAAGGAATTCGGGTCATGCAAGAGTGCACGACCAAGGAACGAAGCAGGCAGTACGCGGTGCTGTACCTTTGCTACTCAGTGGAGTAGGCGACCGGGTTGATGGAGAAGATGGTATAATCCCAGAGGCAACCAAAACTATTAGAGAATTACTCCAAGTTGGGGTGAAAACTTCCTGCATTCCAGAAGTTCAATGTCATTGAGAAGGTGAATCATAGTAGCTAACTCAATGCAAGGAGTGCAAACACTTCAAGTGCTTCAGAAGTGTGAGCAAAGAGCAGGCAAAGGTCAGTAACCAGCTCGATGCATGGAGTACAACACTTGAGGAGGCGGGCAAAGTCAAGTAACCATTGCCTTCTCAACTCTTAAGAGAATGGGCGAAACCGAGTATCCCAATTCTCTTATCTATCCAACAGAGGAGCGCTACACAGATCCAAAGACCCTTCGAAGATAATGGAAGACAATAGTTGTCAAATCCCCACCAATAGTGATCAGTGCTATTAAGAGTAGATTATCCGCTTCATTTCCCAACAAAATGTCAATCGAAAGCGAAAGTGATGCGAATCTACTTGGAAGTGACAACTAAATGAAAGAAGAGTCGATGGACATTTTGTGGAGGAAGGACCCAAAACTTTGAAAGTTTATGAGGCGATGCTCATTAAAGTTCCAACAAGCATTCACCCAGTTCAAGCAGCATATGGTATTTGAGAGACTGGCACATAGTAAGGATGGTCTTTTCCTTCATCTGGAGGATCCGTAGGAACCAACAAGGATTAACACAACTCAGCCAACCCCACACTAGAGTCAGAGTCATTGGCAAGTTGAAGCAGCATGGCGGATTAAAGGTTCGACTACTCTAAAACAACAGCGGAGAGCAGCTGGGAGCCAAGAGGCGCATTGCAGCTGGAGCAGAAGATTGAAGACTCAGCAAAGGTGAGGAGTTGTAGTGTCGGCAAAGGCTTCGATGAGGACGTCGAAGGAATAAGTGGGGGAGAATGTCACAGACAAACTTCTAAACATGATGTTTGATGTAATGCTTATGTATGTCCGTGTCTTTTTGTATGTTCATACTTTGCACAGCATGTAGAGGGACGACTGAAGGCTTAATAGTCTCATTTTAGTTGGGTTGGTGGCTGCTTTAGGCTTATAAATAAAGGTTGTGTCATATGGACACTTGTGAGAGATTTTCGATCTGTAATGAACCATTTTGACCCTTTGTTATGCAACTATTCAGAGCTTGTAAAGTCTGTTTGTAATTTGCATTGTCTGTGAAGTGTTTTCAGAAATGTTTGCTTGTGGATTCCGAGTGAGGCATTTTCTCTAACCTGTTTTCTCTTTTGTGGGTTCCAAGGGACCATGGGAGGCTGACCTTTGTGGACGGACATGCAAGGATGCCGCACGACTTAGGCAAAACCAGCTAAGTTCGTGACAGCTCGTCGTTGCCACAATCGTTGCTCGTCGTTGCTGTCGTCGCTCGTTGCTGCTATCGCCACTCCCGTTGTCGCTCGTAGCTCCCGCTCCCACTCCCGCTATCGCTCGTTGCTCCTACTGTCGCTGCCACTCGCCGCTCACGCTACGGCTATCGTCTGCTACCGTTACCGTTGCCTCAGCAACCTTTGTCTTCTCACACTCTTTTCTCTATATTGTTAACAGTATATTAACAGTATAATGCTAACTATATATTAATAATAATATTTTTATTTATTAGATTAATAATATATTATTTTGATTTTAATATTATTAATTTTTATTTATTTAATAATATATTTTTTATTAAAAAAAATAAAAATATACTATTATGATTTATTTATTTATTATATTTTTATATTTTTTTAATTTAATAATATATTTTTTAAATAATTATATTTATTAATTATATTATATATTTTTATATTTTAATGCCTCGCTTCACTCGGGCAAGTGCCTAGCGCCTCGGGTGTTTTTGGATCTTAGTACCTTTTGGCGCCTAGTGCTTTTTAAATAACTGATTATAAAAGACAGGAACGTAATATGAAATTACAAAGATGCATTGGTGGGCATAAGTCCTCAAATGTCAAGCAATCAAAGGGATGTATTTCTCCTAAGTTTTTGATGTAGATTATTGAGTATGTTAAATCAAAAGTGACATCAAAGATGGCAATAACCATATTCATATCAAAAGGTTAAAAAGGCAGCATCAGATACTAAGTCAAGCAATCATATACCAAACTTATAAAAGAACTGTTGTACCAGAAATAACATATTTGTAAAGTTCAATGAAAGTTTAACAGCCAACAAATACCAGGATATTAATCCTCAATCCAATGATAGTACTATGTGGAGACACAGGATCATCAAGAGGAACTCTTGAGCTTCTTGGCAATGCTGGCAAAGTACTTTCCCTGGTGGAAAGCCTGTTCCAGCTCAAGCTCGGATGGGAATCTTGAACCATCTCCAGCAAATGTGCCTGCACCATATGGGCTGCCACCCTTCACCTTCTCCATCTCAAACATTCCTGCCCCAAAGGTGTAGCCAATTGGGACAAAGATCATTCCATGATGGGCCAGCTGAGTTATGGCTGTCAAACTTAGGAGAAAATGGAAATGGTAGAAGAAATATGGTCAGTAAAAAGTTTCAAGAACTATATATTTTAAATGTTAGGAAGTAGCCAATTTATTAGCAATCCATAGGAGAAAGAAATGAATATAATAAACATTGTTCTACTGCACAACTTTTCCCAACACCTTGCAGGAAAAACACATTTGATATTATTTTAATTACACGTTCATTATCTTGATGCAAAAGTTGCTCAACCACGGCCTATATGAGATAATTATTATGGTTTTAGATTTAGATAGTGACAATGAAGTGCAACAAAGACATCAGGATTCTTATAGTTATGATGCGAATTACTAGGGGTAAAAAGCTTACGGAGTAGTCTCTTGACCACCGCCTTGGGATCCAGTGCTGAAGAAGAGTCCAGCAGGTTTGCCAGCTAGAGCCTGTGTTCTCCAAAGACCTCCAGTTGCATCAAGAAAAGCTTTAAACTGTGCAGCCATCATGCCAAACCTTGTTGGGAAACCAAAGAGAATCCCATCTGCCTCGGCAAGATCATTTGGTGTAATGATTGGTGCATCGCTCTTAGGAGGTGCTCCCATCTTAACAAGAACTTCTTCAGGAAGAGTCTCAGGAACCTGTTCAACCAAAATAGCTTAATAATTCTGTCTATATATTTATAAGACAAAAACTCCAGCAACTTGACTACGATAGGTCCTAGCAGCTTTGGCCGATACTAGTTCCCAGAAGCTTAAGTTCTTCTATAACAAACAACTCGTTCCATGACTTACAACTCAATGCAAAAATTTCCACAATGAATTTAGTGCTTAATTAGGAAAACTAAATCAGAAATTGGAACATGAAAACAGGCAACATATATTAGACAAAAGAAGACATGAAAAGAAAACAGATACAATTAGTGAAAAAGGAGACCAGTTGACAATTAATCTGATAGCATATGAATATAAAATTGTTATCCAGATAACAAAAGGATATTGTAAGGAACACCATCTATAGATATAGTTGATTCTGGTCAATAAAATCAAGTGGAAGACAATAAGTTTATTGCCCATACAACCCTTGATTTTCAAAGAGAAATGGTTAAAGATGCTGAATTTTAGGAGACATTGCCTACTTTTTCTTTTTTACTGTGCCAATGTTGTCATCCTTAAACATTAGGAAGTGTGCTGAAATTAAAAGTATGACAAGCTTTTACCTGCCAAAGTTTCACTTCAACTCCTTCAACAGATGAAGAACCTTTCTTAATTTCTTCTGCTAGCTTTGCAACATGCCCATACATGGAATAATACCTTCAGAAAATGATCATGTTGTCCGTTAGCAGCTCATAGAAAAATAATGTACAAAAACATAATGGTAAAAAAAACATATCAAGCAAATAAAATGTTCTTTTCTGATAATATTATTTCATATATCTCCTGAACAAAAACATGAGATAGCAGCTTGATAATTGCATGCATAGCTACACTGCACTTAGATATGAAATAATCAGCTATTTAATAGTGGGATATGGTGAATCAACTCTAAAATATGTAAATGCAGATCAGATAAATAAGTTTAAATAATATGACTCGTTCTTAAAAGCCTACAGATTGATGTAAGAACTGTAACGGTATACTAATCTACACATTAATTTGTCGAAATGTTAAGAATACCTTTAGACAATAAACATCATATGTTGGACAAATTCCCTATCGAGTATTAGGTAAAAGAAACGACATAAACTCTAAGACTCTACAGCCAATCAGGAATCTCAAGAGTTGACAAGCTTTGCACTGTTTGATTTGTGTTTTCGCTGGTTGAAATAAAATACAACCCAGACTAAGGTTTTGTAAGGTCAAAAGAGAAAAAATTTCGCTGCAATCCAGTAAGAAGCACCAACAATTATCTACAACATTCCAGGAATTCAATTGTCCCTTCCAAAGAAACCCTCGATCCAAACGTTTCATACAAACATCTTTGCCGAGGATGCCACTAGATCAATACATTACAACCGTTCCTAACACGAGATCCGATCAAAAACAGACTCAAGAGGATATATCACCGCGATTCATGGAAAGAATTCACCAAAAAGCCCCCAAATTGATAAAACCTCACAGAATTCGAACAGTGACACGCAAAAGATTGGGCATCAAGAAGATGAATCCGATTAACGAACGGAAGCCGACGGTGAGCGGGTGTAAATGCTTACACGATGTAAATCTTGGTCGCCATTGACGGAGGAGTACGAGCTCCGCGGAGAGCAAAACGACAGAGGGAGAGAAACGTAAAAGAGCGATCTTTTCTTCCGATTACCTCCGGAGTGGAAATGGAAAGGGGCAGAGGATGGGAGAGCCACTTATAGTCAACAGTTAACGGAGCCAGCTAAGTTTGCCACCTGTTCCGTAACAAGTCTTCTCCTCGATCCTCTCCTAATTAAGTGATTAATTAGCTCGTTAATCATGTCTTAAAGTTATGACCATAATCTCTACTGTCGTCATCTTCGACGTAGGTACGCCATCATACGCTGATACGACCAAACCGTAATGATTCGTGCCAACCGGAATCATACGATGATACGCTGAGACGCCATCATATCAGCCGTTGGATTGTCCCACCGGCATCGCGGACATTAAACGTGTCAGGAGACGTGGCGTACGACCACAGCTTCGTGTTAATCTACTGTAGTACGATACCAACCGTTGGATTGTCCTTCAGACTGCTGACCGATGAACCTTGCCGGAAATGAGGGCCAGGTTCAAATAGTAGGGGGCTTTTTTTATTTCATAATACTTTTTTATCTTTTTTAAACTTTGGTTTGGATCTCAAATAAAAATTAGTCAATCAATGGTCACCTAATTTTTAATTAGGTGATAAAATAATGTTGCCTTTTATGGATTGTTCTCTAATTATATGATTATTATTATTTCTATCCTATTTATCCACATCTCAAATTACTTTATCTTGTTTCTAAATGAATAAAATAATATGTAAAGCATCACATTGTTGTTGTAAAATGGGATATTAATGAGTTTTTTTTGTAAATAAATAAATTGATATAAAATTCGAGAGAAATATTAAATAAAAGAAAATAAGGAAAATAAGGCCTCTCACATAACTACAAGGAGAAGGGGTCATTCCATGACAGAAAGGTGACCTGCTTTTGGTTCCAATATGTAACATGGGAGTCGCTTTCGAACACCCACTCAGGAAGTGGTCATCTTGTCCCCATATTATAACATGGTTTGGCTGATTGCTACCTACTGACAAACACAACATGGAGGACACAGAATTAGGATTTAATGTTTTATAAGGCAAAAAATAAAAAATACTTGAAATTGTTTCTCACCTTTGATAGGGCTTAGACTTAGCATGGCAGTAATGTTGAGTAACTTGATTATAATCATTTAATAGCTAATTTATTAACTACTGTGATACTGACTTGTTGACTACTTAGAACCACATAATGTAAAATGCTTAATCTGATAAATAGGAATATAAACTCATAATCATCTTTCCACTTTGGAGAGGAAAAACTAAAATCATTGATCCAGATAGTCCAAAATGTCTATAGGTAAAGATGGTACTCTTATCTAATCTTATATAGGCTAAAAAAATATCTTCTCATCCATTTGCTGATCTTAGAAATTATCCAAGACACACACACAGGAAATTTAAGTGAAAGCAAGTATGTTTGTCCCCCCACAAGCTTAAGTCCAATTATTAGGTGTGTTTGAGTCCCCTCTTTTTGTTGCAGAAAGTGAACACTGCAAAAAAAGGAAGGTATACTTATTTCAGAAAGACTTGGAGCCAATACTTCATGAGATTGGTTGATGATAGTACTGAATTCTGGGCTGGAAATTAAGCACTTCCAATGCAGAATTATAATTATAGTCATGAGTATCAACACAATGAGAATTACTAAACTAGATCATGTATGTTGTACTTTTTTTCATCGTACATTTTCATGGAATGAAATCTTATATTCCAGAAGGGATTAGAGACAAGATTCTAGCATTCTCATCAAGTATAATAAAAAGACTCAAGTCCATCTAATCATAAGTGCATGGTATCACATATGTATTTTTATTTCTCTCCAATCTATATAAAAAAAAGAATATATACCATTAGAATGCTTAAAACATATTTAAGTAAAGATTGTACAATAAAAAGAAGAATTTGTGCCAAAATTTTCATGCCATAAGGTACCTAATACAATAAACAATTAGTCCCTTCTTAGTAATATATCCTTCACCAGTAAATCAGCAAATCAATCCTATTCGACTGCTTAGATGACTGTAGATTTTGATCCTCAAAAAGGATATTAACCATTTGTTTCTTATACATCGCTTATCTTTTAGAATATGGAAAGGCATTTTCAATATTTATCATACCTTTGATGAGCCTGCTAACTTCACTCCCTTTTGGAATGATTGGACAAGAAGTAATTTTATCGAGGAGGAAGCTGGTTGGTGATATTGCCAGCAATCTGGTGGAACATGCTGGTTGAATGAAATAGAAGTCTTCACCAAATCCGCTTCCATGTTTAAATGGTGGATTCAAGGATCTAAAGTGCTTCTCATACTTCTAGTCTGTCTTGTAGTTTTTTCTTTCCCTTGGGCCCTGCTTATGCTGTTGTACTGCTTGCACATACATTAGTCTCACTTAAGGCTGGAACCGGTAATCCCTTTGTCTGATGCTCAAGGAGAGGCATGTCACCTGGTTCTCATCACCGGGTGATATCATATCTTGCTCAAACATCATGAATATACCATGATATCTATCTTGTTCCTCTCACCAGCCATGACATTTTCATGGAGTAGTTGCAGTCTGCTACTGTTGTTCTTTCAATTAACTCCAGTCAACTAGTGCAATCATAACCTCTCAGTCTCTCTGAGCACGAGAGTTGAAGAGTTGAGATCATCGGTGCTTCTGCTGAGAGTCATTGCAAGAACAACTACCCCCTTTGAAGAGGTGGAACCTTGTTTGATCTCGGACCACAACTTCTCTATCGTAAACCTAGGGTACGAGCTTAGTTACTTAATGGAAATCTCTGCACACTCTAAGATTCTTTACCACATGAATTGGCATGCCTTCCCTGGGCAATCATAGCCTCTCAGTCTCTAAGCACAAGAATCGAAGAGTTGAGACCAACAGTGCTTCTACCAATAATCATTGCAAGAACAGCTACCCCCTTTGAAAAGATGGAACCGTGTTCGATCTCGAACAACAATTTATCTATTGTAAACCTTGGATATGAGCTTGGTTACTTGATGGCAATCGCTACACACTCTAAGATTCTTTACCACACGAATTGGTATGCCTTCCTCGGTGCTAAGCAACACAAAGGCAATTGCCAACTTCTCACTGTGACGAGCAAGTGCATCTTAGCCCTCCAGCCTTATGCAGCTCTCGATCTCGTCCCACTCGAGCAGTATATCCTTTATCCGGGGGTGAGCAATGTCACCAACCAAAAACTGGTGAATCCTCCCTCCTATCTCCACCAGGCTGCATCATGGGGTCTTCTCCACTTGCTTCTTGTTCATCAGAAGTCTCACCTTCCTGGCATCGTCACGCCTGCCTGAAGAAGCATATACATTGGCCAAAAGCACATAAACCCCGCTAGAATCTGGCTCTAGTTGGATCAAGTGGTTCACAGCATGCTCTGCCAATTCAACATTTCTATGAACCTTGAAACCAGCCATCAGCGCTCCCCAGACAAAAGCATCGGGCTCCATTGGCATACTCTCCACCAGATCTCGAGCCTCATCGAGTAGCCCATTGTGTGCCAGTAGATCAACCATGCACCCATAATGCTCGAGCTTTGTCTTAATGCCATACTGCCTGGTCATCGAATCTAAGATCTCGCGACCCTGGTCAACCAGCCCTGCATGAGTGCATGCACAAAGGGCGCCAATGAATGCGACATCATCAGGGACGAAGCCTGACGTCTCCATATCTGAGAAGAGTCATAGCACCTCGAATCCTCGACCATGCATGGCGAGCCCTTTTATCATCATTGTGTAGGTTAGCAAGTTCTCCTCCTGCATCTCCTCAAACACCTTCAAGCCCAACTCCACCTGGCCGCACTTGGCATACATGTCGATCAATGAAGTGCCCAGGAACACACTGATCTTTATCCCGTTACTCCTCACGTAGCCATGGACCCATTTCCCCTGCTCCAAAGCCCCCAGCTGAGCGCAGGCGGCGAGTACACTGACGAGGGTCATGTCGTTCAGCTCAAACCCGTCGGTCTGCATCCGCGAGAAGAGAGCCAATGCATCCTTCGAGCGTCCGTCCTGAATGCACTTAGAGATAATTGCACACCATGTGACCACATTTCTCTTGAGCATTCCCTCGAACAACATCCTGGCACGATCCAGATCGCTGGCCCACACATACCCGCTGATGATGCTCGATTAAAAGAACTCGACCGAGTATTAGACCAGAAAGTTTCCCAGTTATAAATTCAACTCAGATGCAAAGGGGAATGCACTTAGATTAAATTTACAAAGACAGAATGAAATATAAAGCTTCCTCACATACCTTTACTAATATACACGAATAAGGATGATCTAGAAGAATCAATGACTGCCTCGAAAACACTCAGCACAAGCTTGTCAATTATCAATCCAAGGATTCAAATACCGGTTCGTATCATCACAACAAGTACTAAATTTAAATAACGAAGAATGAACAGAGCAATAGAGAGAGAACGATAAACTTTTTCGGAAATAAAATCATTAAGAAAATTATCTTCTAATCGTGAAAATTATCTTCGTGCGACAGGAGCGAAGGTTTTTTCATAATCGATCACTTCTTCTTGGTTAAAACCTTTGGCCACTAATCTAGCATTGTTTCTAATCACGATATCAAATTTATCTTGCTTGTTTTTAAAGACTCATTTAGTACCAATAACTAAATGGTCATTTGTCGAAGGTATTCAAGCTGCTGAGAGTAGGGGACGCGCAACCGGTTAGAGGCGGCAAAGCGAAGAAGTCCTTTCCGGGCAGAATCAGCAACTGACGGCCAGGCTGAAAACAAGCAGACCCAACACAACTAAAGCGGAAATTGGTACGACAAATCTCTATAACAAAATTGCTATTCACAATTAAACAATCTAATCCAATAGACTATCCTGGAATCAAACATATCAGCAATTGTGTCTATATCTCCTATTGCACGGTGTCAAGGAGGGAGCCATGATAGAGTAAATCACAGGATGAAGCAACAATGAAACAAATAATTTCCATATTCTGCAGTAGCATAATATTATCAGTGAAGTCCGTACGCAGTAAGAAAAGTATTTTCTTTCAAGGGTAATCATTATACAAAGTACC